TTTTATATTTGAAGTTCAATAAATATTAGATTTATTGACTTTTTTAATTCATATTGTACACAGTGAGTGTTCAGTTGTCTTTCACAATATATATAGATCTCCCTTAGAGATAGGGTGAGAAGCTCTGTCATCCGTGAGGGGCTCGGAGTAGATTCGCTGCTCCTCCACATCGATAGGAGCCAGTTGAGGTGGCTCGGGCAACTGGTCAGGATGCCTCCCTGGTGGAGTCACAAATCTTAGAGAGTGTTGGGCAAGTCCAGAATATGTGAAGAAGTGTGGCAGGTGACCGTCTACGACACTCACACATCAGATTAGGGCTGGGCGATATGGCCTAAAATCAATATCACGATATATTGAGGATTTCACCTCGATAAAGATAATTGAATGATAACTACAGGTATGCGCTGAAACAAAAGTTGTCCACTAGATGGGGCTGTCATGTGTATTGAGTCACATTTTTACACGACTCAAGGTGGTACAACTTCTTAAGAGACATGAATGTTGCCAACATACACACATCTTTAAATTTTTTTTATTATCAAATTCATTGACACAGGAAAAATTATCTTGATAAGAGCCAGAAAACACCTTAATATGACACATGAAACATCTCCTAGACTTCTTTTAGTTTCTACAGCAGGGGTTCATCACTAAATTAAACAAATCAGCTGTGTTCATGATCTAAAACATGCTGGAAGCAGACTACTGAACTACGCATGTCAGCTCAATTTAAAAGACCCAACAGAGCATCCAGCCAGTCTGAAGTTGCAAGTGTAATATTCTGGCCACAGAGGGCGGTAGTGGCTGGGTGGTCATTTTGTTTATGTTTATTTATTTGGCAGACACTTTTATCCAAAGCAACTTACAATTTATAACCTACAGGGCATGTTGTGATCTGTGGGGGAAACCAGAGTACCTGGAGGAAACCCACGCATGCATGGGGAGAACACGCAACTCCACGCAGAAAGGCTGCAGCCGAGTTTCGAACCTGCAACCTTTGTGCTGCGAGGCAACAGTGCTAACAACTGTGCCACCATGCAGCCCATTTTAACACATACTGGCTTGAGAAAATTATTTAAAAATACTAAAACATTGCTGGGGTTGCTTTAAATCTTAGACAATCTGTCTTTGGACCAATGGTGCACCACTTTGAACAGAATGACTGTCTCACACAAAGTGAGGATTTAACGTTTCATAATAAATGTGTTAAATTAAGTACTTTATACTATATGTTAAGGAGCAGGTCTTGTGTTCTGCTGAACTGCAATAGCCCCCTGGAGGAGGGCATCTGCTGGCACACTACTGACAACTACTGAACATTCTCCCTCTCATGATGCATAAAAGCTACGACTACAAGTTCATCTGATTGTTCTTTTGTGTATCTGCTCCATCTTCTCAAACCCCCACGTGATGGCTGCTCATACTGAGCCAGGATCTGTTGGAGGTTTCTTCCTGTTAAAGGGCAGTTTTCCTCTCCACTGTTGCTACATGCTTGCTTAGTATGAGGATTGCTGTAAAGACTCTGACACAACAAGTCAGTGACTCCTTGCAATCTGCTGGGTTTCCTTATATAGAAAACCTTTAACTGGAATAATGAACTGAACTCAGAGCACTGATAAGTAGTTTCCACAGGAATGTTTACTTTGTGAAGTGCCTTGAGACGACTCTTGTTCTGATTTGGCACCAAACAAATAAACTGAATTGAGTTACCTCCACCAGACCAGTCTTCTCCTCAGGCGCTGCTCTTTCTGAAGATGAAGGCTTCTCCATGTGGTCACCACCTGCACACCTGACACACACACACACACACACACACACGCGTCTCAGTAACATGCAAACAGATACCCACAGTACTACACACCAACAGACAACAACAGCTACTGAACTGATAACAAATGACCGTTTAACCAACTTGCATGATTATCAGAGCAACTTGACACTATTCAAATTAAATTCTTATCACTGGTGATGTTTAACCCTTTCCTTTACAGCACAGCATTTACTCCTCTGTGATCGGTCTGATAAAAACCTGATATGTATATGTCGATGATAAAAACATGCAGCTGTAGGTTGCCCAAGGGCTCTGGGTGTTGTTGTTCTTGTGTAATGTTGACTGGGAAGGAACTTGTGTGCTAATTTATAAATGGCAGAGTGAAAGAGATGGTACTCAAAAACAGAAAACTGTAATCATACCCCTCTTTGTAAAATTAAAGCCTTAAACTGTCATATAATCATGGGTTTAATGCGTAATTATGTCCTCCTTCAAGAAGAATGTACACAACACCATGCACTGAAATAATTTTACAGTTTAACAGGAGGCAACACCTAATGTGTCACGCACGCACACACACACACTCCTGCGAGCCCAATCACAGCCCTTCCTCATCCTGTTATTAACTTGAATAACAACTGGTGACCCCCCCCCCCCCCCCCACACACACACACACACACACACACGTATGATTTACTCAAAACCTCTCCAGAGGATTGCTCTCTGCCATGTCCTGCAGAGGATGCCATCTCAAACTATTCAGGTCTGCTTCTGCAGACTTTCCCTCTTTGGAGATCTCCACACATGAAAGCTGCAGCATGCTGATGATGCACTCAGCCTCATGAATGGACTTTACACACAGACACCAGAAAAACAAAAGCGCTGTTGTGGATGACAAAGACCAGCCAGATGTGGTCTTATAAACACAAGCATAAACAATCTTACTTCTGGTATCATTGAGCTCAGGAAAAAAATTGCCTTTGGGTTAGAAGTCCAACACGTGACCATTAGGAGTCTTGAAACGTTCATCATAAACAATCAAACATAACTTTTAAACAATGAACAAAGAAAGAAAGCAGATCAATTTTGTTGGATTACAGTGTAAGGAGCTCAAACACCGCATTAAACCGCCACTGCCGTTAACGCAGGCTAAACTAAACACTACCTGTCCCCGTAAACATACCTGAGAAGTCACACGAACACCAGTTGTCTCTTAGCGAGAAGCCATGTCTGTGTCAGCTTTACTGCCTCACGCACGAACACCAGTTGTCTCTTAGCGAGAAGCCATGTCTGTGTCAGCTTTACTGCCTCACGGTCCATGGAACATCTACAACACCGTTTACATTTCAGCTCGGTATCCGGTGGAATCGGGCGACGGGAAACTTCTATTCGGTGACAGTAAAAGTAAAAGCTGCGGCTAGCAGGTTTGTTGTTGCTGAGAGGGGGAGGTTTTGTCCCGCAGCGGCAGATTCGCCACTCAGCATCTGCTTGGTGAGGCTGACGTCGACGTGGAAAAAAACATCACGCGATCACCCAGAAAACTAAAGACTGTGGGTAAAAGCGGACCATTAAATTATTATTATTATTAATTTATTACACAACATGTGAAAACGCCACTAGTGTGTACATGCCCTATAAAGGTGACCAAATAATTAAAATCCTGGACTGAAATTATTACTGTCTAATTGAAATGATGGTTTAAAACGTCAAATAGATTAAGATAAACGGTATAATTTGTACTTTATAATTCCCTCTGAAACCTTCCTCTGGGAATTCCTGTTTCCAGCAGACTCCACTGACAGAAAAGGGGAAAAAAACGGTTTTAACAAGAAAAAAATGTAAATGCAACAATAATAAAACGAAGAGAATCAAACCAATATAAGAAAAATGTACAACATATATGAAACAAAGGAAAAATATAGAAACATACCAGCAGCATTTACACCAGATCTTGATAATATCACGTGGTCTATTGCACATATTATCTGGTTACACAGTGATTTGAACATTTTATTTCTTAGAGAATTTGAATTAAGAACACTTCTTCAGCAAATATTGGCAATTTACAAACTGCTTTTGCCTTTTAAAGAACATTTCTAATCATATTTAAACCTGTCAGCAACTAAGTAGCCTACATATTGGCCTATTTCATATTTTACAATATAAAAAGCCTTTTAATCGAAATGCGTAAAATAGATTAATTTTAATGTTACGCCTTGTTAAAGAAAAGGTGAAGGACTGGCATAACATAAAGTAGACATGCATCAGTGGAAACAAAAATAGTATTTTATTTACAGAAGTAATAAATAAACAACACTGGCTCAACCAGGAACAAGCAAAAAGCGAGCTGAAAGATGTTTACCCAAAATGAACAACTAAGGTCAAAATACCAAAATAGATTCCTGGGTTAAAAATGACCCAACTCAAATAATCAAACTGGGGGTTTCAACTTCTTTACCACGAGGGCAAGCACAAAATAGCTTTTCTGAGCACTCCAAGACTATTACACCAAGTTAACACTTTTACACCATTTACTTTCTCCCTCCTGCGAATAGAGTCAGAGATCTGTCAAATACTACAACCTAGTAAATCACACTCTCATAAGCAGAGAAAACCCTGGAGAGGGAGATGACCATGTCACAGATCCAGGATCCCCCACTCTCACTGAAGACTTGACAGCTTCATTCTTTTGTGATCTCTGGCCACTGACGAGCTGATGTATGGGTGCCATTTGTAAAGGGTTAGGATATATTAGGATATATCCTGATATATTATAAATGTTACAGATCTCACCTAAATATTTAGTTAGCACTTAGCAATGCATTTTTAAGTTCTTTTTTTAAACACAGGAAAGGTTTTTATGCCTTGCTGACAGAGGGCGACACCGTCCTCTGTTGCCCACGGATAAATCGAAACTGTCAGCAAGGTAATAAAACCTTTCCTGTGTTTGAAAAAAGAACTTAAAAATGCATGCAGAAGAAAAACAGAACAAATATACAAAACATATTTAGTTAGCAAACTAAATATTTTATTAAGAGACCTAAATATTTAGTTCATAAAATAAATGTTTATTTGATTTGCTAAATATTAAATTTGGAGCTAAATATTTAATTTACAAACCTAATATTTAGCTTCAAATTAAATATTTATTTTTCTAAATAAATATTTAGATCCCACACCATACCATACCATACCACACTGTACCATACCATACCACACTGTACCATACCATACCATACCATAGTTTATTTATATAGCACATTTAAAACGCTCCTCCTTGAACAGTCACCTTATCGTGGTGGAGGAGTTTGAGTGCCCTAATGATCCTACGAGCTATGTTGTCTGGGGCACTTTGTGCCCCTGGTAGGGTCTCCCATGACAAATTTGATCTTAGGTGAAGAGTGAGACAAAGAACGGTTCAGAGGATCTTTTATGCATGAACTATCAAGGAGTCGGGAGTACCCGGCCCAGAGGGTTACCGTTGTCCCACCCTGGAGCCAGGCCTGGGGTTGGGGCCCGTGAGCGAGCGCCTGGTGGCGGGGCTTTCATCCATGGGGCCCGGCCGGGCCCAGCCCGAACCGGATACATGGGCTCATCCAACTGTGGACCCACCACCCGCAGGAGGAACATGAAAGGTCCGGTGCAATGTGGATCGGGTGGCAGACCGAGGCGGGAGCCTTGGCGGTCTGATCCCCGGACAAGGAAACTGGTTTTTGGGACATGGAACGTCACCTCGCTGGCGGGGAAGGAGCAGGAGCTTGTGGCAAAGGTTGAGTGGTACCGGCTAGATACAGTCGGACTCACCTCGGCACATAGCATCGGCTCTGGAACCCAAGTCCTTGTGAGGGGTTGGGCGCTCTCCTTTGCTGGAGTTGCTCCGGGTGAGAGGCGGAGGGCTGGGGTTGGCTTTTTGTTAGCCCCAAGACTCTCTGTCTGTGTGTTGGGGTTTACCCCGGGGGACGAGAGGGTAGCTTCCCTGCGCCTTCGGGTCGGGAGAGAGGTCCAACCTCAAGTGGAGGAGTTTAAGTATCTCGGGGTCTTGTTCACGAGTGAGGGTAGGAGGGATCGGGAGATCGACAGGCGGAATGGTTCGGCATCTGCAGTGATGCGGACGCTGAGCCGATCTGTCGTGGTGAAGAGGGAGCTAAGCCAGAAAGCCAAGCTCTCGATTTACCGGTCGATCTACGTCCCAATCCTCACCTATGGTCATGAGCTTTGGGTAATGACCGAAAGAACGAGATCGCGGATACAAGCGGCCGAAATGAGTTTCCTCCGTAGGGTGGCCGGGCTCAGCCTTAGAGATAGGGTGAGGAGCTCGGACATTTGGGAGGGACTCGGAGTAGAACCGCTGCTCCTCCGGATCGAAAGGAGTCAGTTGAGGTGGTTTGGGCATCTGGTCAGGATGCCTCCTGGACGCCTCGCTGGGGAGGTGTTTCGGGCATGTCCTGCTGGCAGGAGGCCCCGGGTCGACCCTGGACACGTTGGAGAGGTTACATCTCCAATCTGGTCCGGGAACGCCTTGGGGTCCTGCCGGAGGAGCTGGTGGAGGTGGCCGGGGAGAGGACGGTCTGGAGCTCCCTAGTTGGGATGCTGCCCCCGCGACCCGGATAAGTGGAGGAAGACGACGACATTTAAAACGCAGCATGGGAGCTGCCCAAGGTGCTGCACAGGCTGGACCAAAACACGGCCAATCACAGCAACAAAAACAGAAGATAAAAATAAATACCAATCAATGAAAGCAAATAAAAAAATGAGGAATACTAAGAACACAATAAAATACTAAAACAAGTCACGGTCTAAAAGCCAAATTGTAAAAGTGGGTCTTTAAACGAGATTTAAAACCCGCCAAGGATGGAGCCTGTCGAACTGTAATAGGTAGAGATTTCCACAGCTTTGGGGCAGCATGTACAAATGCTCGTTTACCCCGTCATTTGTAACACATCCGGGGAGTGCAAAGCAGCAGGAGGTCAGCCGACCTCAACATGCCTGTGGGTACATAGGGAGTGAGCAGGTCAGAAAGATAGGGAGGTGCCAAGTCATTAAGTGCTTTAAAGACAAAAGTCAATAACAAACTGTATTCGGAAAATGACAGGGAGCCAGTGAAGATGTTCCAGGACAGGGGTACAATGGCTACGTCGAGCATTGACCGGAGACCGGAAGACCAACTAGGAGGGCATTCACATAGTTCAGGCAAGAGGTAATGAAAGCATGGATGACTGACTCCAAATGCCTCCACTTAAAGATTGGTCTGAGGCAAGTAAGGCGACGAAGCTGGTAAACGCAAGACCTCACTACGGAGTTAATCTGTGAGGCTATTGAGAGTTCAGCATCTAGCTTTACCCCGAAACTTGTCATGCACTGTTTGGGGTTGAAGGTTAAAAGGTCACAAACAGAGTAAAAGTCATGGTGGTTGCGGGGTCAAAAACAATAGACTCAGTCTTCTTTTCGTTTAACCCTTTAGGCCCTAAGCCTTTTTTCTTTGGGCCCTTTTTTGAGAAATTATGACAAGTCTCTAAATAAAGTAAAATTTTCCAGTGCAGAGTGGAGACAACCCATAGAAGCACTGATTTGATCTCATTTCAGAGAAAAATAGAACAGGTTAGATGCACCTAATAAATAAAATTACTAACAAACTCAGGAATCTTTCTTTGCTTCACTGTTCTGGTGCTGAAAATATCACTTATGCGGATCAAAGGAGATGCACAGATGAATGCACCTCTTATTTATTATTTGGAAACTACATTTACTGCAGCTGGCAGAGGCAGCGATTTTTTCTGTTGATACACGGAATTTACAGAATCATTTTAAATTTTAATAGGGGAAGACTGCAGGAGGGAGCGGTAAAATACAGGGGGTCCCCAGCAAAAACAAGAAACTATGAGTCTGATGAAACCCGCTGGTTTTCCATCAGGCAGTCACGGGGCAGCTCCAACGACCCAGTGGCTGTGCTGGGTCAATGTTATCGAGCTCAGTCCGGCTCGGCCGTGAACGAGCCGAGGTGACGTCGTGCTCTGCTTAAGAAGAAGTGTTATTTTCCCGCTTCAGAAGAAGCGTCCAATGTGTTTTTACGCTTTCTCCGAGACATGTCACGTCGCTAAGTTGTTAGCGCCGCGTGCTAACACGTCAATAGTGCAGCGTAGCCTGCTGGAGGTTTTAAGGGTTCAGATGAAAACACCCGACCTCTCACGCTGCTCACACATCGATCTTAAGTTGTCGCTGTTGCGCTCACGCCGTAATACAGTATTAGATGCGGTTAAAGTCAGACATGATAAAATAAATAAATTTTACATGAATAAGTGATGCTTAGCCTTGTGGGGGGAGGAGAACCTGGCCTAATAAGCACTGGAGGGAACCCTGTCAAGATCGTCAACACTCATTTATCTTAATGCTATTGAAACATGTAAACCAAAAAGCATTATATCCACTGCTACCTTTCTAATTTTATACTCAGTAACTTATGCTGTAACTTCACCTTGCCCTGCCTGCTCATTGCTGCCCGCCGGCTGTGATCACAAACGACAACATAGTAGTTCCCGCTGCTTCTTCGGGAAACAGCGCAAAAAAAAAAACAACTTGGGATTTTGTAGGCGTGGCGGTGGGATTTCAGCCGTGGCGGCCCGCCACGGCTACGCCTATGAAAGGGAAACCCTGAGAGCACCTGCAGTGCTGCTGCTGAGAAGGATAAAATTATGAAATCCTGCAGCATTATCACTTGTACTGCTTCGTTTTCACACAGAACAAGCCCCCCACACACACACACACACGGGCATACACACACACGCGCGCACACACACACAGCCTGAAGCGCAGAATACGGAATGCAGAATATCAGCAGGGGGACAGATTGAGACAGAATGTAATGCGTCTGTGACAGTGTGTGTGTCCAGTCACTGTGACCCGACTAATCATACGCCCTGGCTACTTGTACAGGGGAGATCTCCGTTTGGCTGACTGGTTAGCATGCGTGACTTTCACCTGGGAGTCTGGGGATCGAATCCCAAATGGACAATTTTTTTTTACATCCGCCACAGATCTCTGAAGAATTCACAACATTGATGGCTTCAGCAATGCTGTGCCACTCCGTTTTCTCTTATTTGTTTTGCAAATGCACTTCCTTTCATTTCTCCACCTCACCCACAAGTACCTCCATTTCTGCTTCTGTGAAATTCCGCTTCCTTGATCTGCCTTGATCTACGGACACCACTGTCATTGACGGAGTGCTGCAACAGCAGGCTTATGTATATGCATGAGATCCACAAGGCAATTTGCATTGACTACTTAGGCAGTAAGTGGGTGTGGTGAGGGCGGGATGTGACTAAAATGCAGCTGAGAAACATTCTAGTTAGTCTCCGATTTATAAAGCGGAGATTGCGTGCAGCTGTGCGTACTCCATGTTTGATAGATGACAAACCTGCTTGGCTACACAATGTTTGATAAATGAGACCCCAGGTCACATTGAACATTCATAATGGGGCGAAACTTAAATATTGGATTTTCTAAATAAATGTTTAAAAAATGTATTTAGGAAAATTAATATTTTACTTGGCGCAAATGAGTTTAGGAAAACAATTATTTAGTTTTAAGCCAAATATTTAGTTAGTAAACTCAATATTTAGCTCCAAACTGAATATTTAGTAAGTAAATTAAATATTTATTTTACAAACTAAATATTTAGTTCTGACCATAATTTTTATTTTGTGAAATGTATGTTTTTATTTATAATGTATGAATTTATATATGAATAACATGGTGAAAATCAGATTTTGAAAAACTTACTCCCATTTTCCCCCCCTTTGGATTACTAAACCCAATACTGCTTTTAAATTACGACTCTTGACTTTACAAATGGCAGCCCATACTGACGTACAGCTGCAGGAGGAAGGGCTCGTGAACGCTGATCCCAGGACAGAAGGCGGCAGCTGTGACATTAATATTTTAAACACCCGTTTTTGTTGGATCAACATTTCCAACCAACCCACATGTTTAACAGCGTTATACTCATACACTAACTTAGCTTCTTACCTTGTGTTCTTCCACCTGAAGAAACACACCTGGGGCGAATTACATCCAAGGAAAGTCACTAAAGTCAGTTGCACTCTGGCTCGGTCACATTTATACCTACCAACAAAACATTGTAGAGGTTTAAACAGCGCAATTTCCATTCCAGTTTACCCAATGGTAACATGTTTATATGGCTAACTATAGTAGGAATATTAACCACGAACACGCGGAACTTTGGAAAGGAAAACGCATTAAAGTTCCGGTTGGATGCGTTCAGGGACCTTCGGAAATATTAAAATTTCCCACATAAAAGTTTAACTCGGATGAACGAGATTAAGACCCATATAACTTTAATTCATCTGAAAGGCCTAAAAGAACGTTCAGTGCAAATGCAGTTAAACAAACAAGCAAATGTTATTCTGAAACTAAAATACAGTGTAATTTACTTCCATTTCAACCAGGACTCGAAACTTAATATTTTCACAGAATTACTATATGAAGCTTGAAACAATTGCGTATGTGTGTGTATATATATATACACATATATATCATATATATATATATATGACTTGATGGTACATTAAGAACCTCCCAGGATTTTGACAATTTAGTTTCCATCCTGAAAACCCAATTTCAGCTTGATATACTTCGTTACATCAAAATCTCCCCCACTTAGGGACAATAAAGGAATATTCTCCTTGATTTCTGATAAACAATATAATTAATCTTTGTTCAACATTAAGCACATTTCTAGCTGGTAAATTCAAAATAAAGCATTTCATTACATTCCTAACTTACACAAACATGAACCAATACTGTAAAATGTTTATTTTGTATAAAAATGAACACATCAGAATGAAAACGACAAATAATTCACAAACGTTTATAACAGAGGCCTTTTCTTTAAAAAGGACACACCGTTTCCACAAATTTCCAGTGCTGACAGAGGACCTCATATTAACACTTCAATATGACAGCTTTTAGATTGCTTGTGTTTGTCTTTGTTTCATAACAAATGGATAAACTAAGCCCAAATCACACCTTAAAAAATAAACAAAAACTTAAAAATGTTAAACAGTTGCTACCTAAGAGCCAAACCTAAAGTACCATTTTGGATTCAACGAAGAAAGCGGAGGCACTAAAGATGCAAATCAATCAACTTTTCAGCATCTTAGTGGTCTTTGTGATCGCCATCCTCCTCCAGCTTCCGGATCTCAGCCTTCAGGTGGTTAATGTTTTCTCTGCTGGCTTTCAGTTTGTCTTTTAGCTCCGTGATCTCTTGGCTGGTTCTTTTCTTTGCCGCTTCCAGTTTTTCCTTTGTCCTCTGCTCCAGCTCACTGACTGCAGTGATAAAAACAAACATCAAAATCAAGGAAACAAAGTCCACAATTATTTCAGTAAACATGTGTTGTTTTCCCCCCACCATCATAGAACTTGCAACAAAAACCACATGACTTTCACAGTTCAATACGTTAATGCATACACTCTGTCTCATGCTTATAGGGTCCAAGAGTGAGTTGTCTTGATGTGGTCAACAGCTGTTGCATCATGGCGGTAGGATCCTGAAATATCTAAAAAAATATATAAAACATTTTTTTCGTTTAAATATTTTAAACAATTAATGAACTCCACAGAAATGACTTATTTGATAAAAAATAAGCAGCACCATGAAAGCAAAGAATAAAATAATCCCTACCATTTCATCATAAAACTCAGAGACTACAGTTTTCTTGGGCATGGCGCTGGAATCTGACTGAAACAGCTTCAGGAGATGATACAAAGTTACCTTGAACACAAATCAATACAATTTGAGATACAAAAAAATGTTTTCCGGTAATACTTTATCATTCCATGTGACACTAGAAATGTGTCTATTTGAGGCAAAACGTACAGGTCTTTCATTAGGATCCATAAAAAATATCTTGACGATGATCTCAAACTCTCCCCAGCCTGTCTCTGTAATCTCATACGGAGGCTTTGTTACGACTTGGAAAAGGGGGAAAGATAAAAAAAAATTAAGAATCAGAAAAGGTTATAATTGTAAAATGAACATTTTCTACCTGAAGTTCTCCTCACCTCTTAGTGGGTTAACGTAGCTTTCATGTAGCTTGAACTGGATTTTCTTCACGTAGGCAGACATGTCCTGGGAGACATATTTGTGTTTTATTATACAAAAGGAATAAATGTTATTTTGCAGAGAAGCACGCGCTTTACTTACAGCTCGTCTTACCTCATTTCTGTAAGGCTTCACATAAACAGACCATTGATGGGTATGTCCATCTTCCTCTCTCTTCTTCCCAAAGTAGCGGGCAACATTCCCAAACACAATGGGTTTCACTATGGTCACTCCCTGCAGCAACACAACGCTTTTAAACACAACAAACCCGAGAGAAAATACCAGGAAGATGAAGTACATTTGACTTGCTCTAATGATATTTATAAGTCAATCCACACGACAGGTTTACGGTTTGGCAAAAATACGGATTTACAGCGGAACGTTACCTTAACGCGCCCCCCGGAATCTGGACCGAATTCAGTCATCTTTTTGAACATATTACACTACAGGAGCCACTTGACTTAATCATGGCGCACTTTAGCTTCTTGTTCTACCACGTTTCTCCATCTTTGTCACGATTTAACCCTTGAAATAGCTTACATAAACAATAAGGAAGCTGAAACCAGCACCGGAAGTAAGTGCAACATGTCGCTTGTTCGGTAAGAAAGAACTCATTGTTCACATCGGTTCCGGGTAGAAGTATTTTTTAATGCTTTATTTTTCATTTACATTTTACATACATTTTGGTTCAAAAATACCACACCACACCATACCATACCAATTTATTTATAAAGCACCATTTCAAAATAGCATGGCAGCTAACCAAAGTGCTGTACATAAAAGAGCCAAATGCTTGAACAAATCGACAAAACACAATGAAAGCATGAAAATAAGGTAAAATACATAAAAACGTAGCATAAATAATCAAGGATAAAAATTCCTACTAAAAACAGTAGAATAGAGAACAGTTAACAGCACCATCAAAAATAAAAATAATGCGAAGAATGATAAAAACCATTTGAAATGGCACAAATAAAACAAAAAAAAGCTACAACGGTGCGAGGTGTTAAGTGAGCTACTGAATCATAAAAACTAAATTAAGAAAAATAAACCCGGTGCTGGATTTTCATGTAAGGTGTCACAGAGGGAAGGCAATACTGAAAAAGTGTGTTTTAAGGGCCGACTAGAATCTGCTGACAGAGGGATCAAAACGCATGGAGTTTTGGGGCTGCATGAGAGAAGGCACAACTGAAAATTTAAATGTATAAATGAACTCATTTGAGGAAAAAAAATACCATTCAGAACTGGCAACAATTACAGCATGACAATACATGAAATAAACAGTGATAGAAAATAATAGTATTTTAACAAAAAAAAAAGAAAATTTAAATAATAAAATAAGTTTACAGGGGTTAATAGCTCAGCATATTTCAAGCATGTTTGATACATTGATTGTCATTTAAAGAGTGAGTAACTCCGACATTGTTTTGTACAGCTCGGTTACATATTGGTTATTTTCTAATAATACTTTCAGAGATGTTTTAAATTGTTTAATTTCGTTTTTTAAATGGTTAATGTTAGGCTTTCTGTTTTTCCACTTATTCTAATGTACATGGTATTTACCTATGATGATAATAATGTTCACCATTTTGGATATCGTTTTTGGTAGTGCATCCATGTATATTAACACTTTAGATTTGTTAAGCCATACATCATTTATCCCAGTATTTAACAATTGATAAACATCTTTCCAAAAGCCAATTGTGGCTGAACATAAAAAGAAAAGGTGTTCAATAGTTTCACTTTCTGTCATACAAAAAATGCATTTATTCACTTCAAACTTCAAAAATTTTCCTTAGACTTTCGGCAGGAGAATATATACACTTAACAAAAATGTAAACGCAACACCTTTGTTTCTGCTCCAATTTTTCATGAGATGGACTTCAAGATCTAAAATCCATTCCAGATACACAATATTACCATTTCTCTCAAACATTGTTCACAAATCAGTCTAAATGTGTGATAGTGAGCACCTGTGCTTGGCTGAGATAATTCATCCCACCTCACAGGTGTGCCACATCAAGATGCTGATCTGACATGAGAAGTGCACAGGTGTACCTTATACTTCCCTCAATAAAAGGCCACCCTGTTATGTGCAGGTTTTTTTTTTTTTTTTTTTTTTTTTTGCTTTATTAGGGATCTAGGGACTCAGAACTGGTCAGTTTCTGGTGTGACCACCATTTGCCTCATGCAGTGCAACACATCTTCTTCGCATAGAGTTTATCAGATTGTCAGTTGTGGCCTGTGGAATGGTGGTCCACTCCTCTTCAATGGCTGTGCAAAGTTGTTGGACATTATCTGTGTCTGAACCGTTTTGATCCAGTTGAGCTTTCAGATTTATCAAAAATATTAGCTTCATCTAAACCTTCCACTTGCATTTTAGATCCAGTCCCAACCAAATTATTTAAAGATGCATTTCCTTTGGTTACTGCCCCCATTCTAGATACAATTAATCTATCCTTAGTAAATGGATATGTACCACAGGATTTTAAGTTGCTGAAATCAAACCTTCACTTAAGAAGCCTTCTCTGGATCCAGATGACCCAATGAATTATAGACCAATAGCTAACCTTCCATTTTTATCCAAAGTCCTGGAGAAAATAGTGGCCATCCAAGTATGTCAGCATTTAAACACTAATGCTCTGTTTGAGGAATTTCAGTCTGGTTTTAGAGAGTCTCACAGCACTGAAACTGCGTTAGTGAGAGTTACAAATGATATTCTCATGGCCTCAGATAAGAATCTTGTGTCTGTTCTAGTCTTGTTAGATCTCAGTGCTGCCTTTGACACAGTTGATCACAATGTTCTTGTAGAAAGGCTTGAACATGTCGTAGGGATCAAAGGAACAGCGCTAGGCTGGTTTAAGTCCTACCTGTCTGACAGATTTCATTTTGTAAATGTACATGACAAATCTTCATACTCCAGGGTTACTTGTGGAGTACCACAGGGTTCAGTGCTTGGACCAATTCTTTTTACTATACATATATATATATATATATATATATATATATATATATATATATATATATATATATATATATATATGCTCCCAACTGGTAAAATCATTAGACATCATGGGATAAACTTTCACTGTTATCCTTACGATACTCAGTTATATTTATCCATTAACCCTGATGAACCTAATCAGTTAGTTAGATTACAGGCTTGTCTTGAGGACATAAAAAATTGGATGACTCTAAACTTTTTGCTTTTAAATCAAGACAAGACGGAAGTTCTCATCTTTGGACCAGAAATCCAGAAAGGGAAATTGCTTAGTCAATCACCTGACCTGAATGGCATTAAATTAGTCTCCGAGAACAAAGTAAGGAACCTTGGTGTTATTTTTGACCAGGACATGTCATTCAAATCCCAGGTTAAACAGGTTTGTAGGATTTCCTTTTTCAACCTTCGGAATATTGCTAAGATTAGAAGCATCCTTTCCAGGAGTGATGGTGAAAAACTGGTTCATGCATTTATTACATCAAGACTGGATTACTGTAATTCATTACTCTCAGGAAGTCCACAGAATGTAGTTAAAAGTCTTCAGCTTGTCCAAAATGCTGCAGCTAGAATTCTGATGAGAATTAAAAAGAGAGATCATATCTCTCCTGCCTTAGCTTCCCTACATTGGCTACCTGCTAAATTCAGAATAGATTTTAAGATCTTTCTTCTCACATATAAAGCTCTTAATAATCAAGCTCCATAGACACTCCAACACTCTAGACCTTGTTTTTACCCTGAGTCTAAATGCTGACAGTGTTTGTCCTGAGGACGTTTATATTTCAGACCACCATTGCATTTTCTTTAACTTGTCAGTTTCTGCGTCCCCACCTCCTGCTTGCCGTATGGTTAGTTCTCGTTTTCTTAATGAGAGCACAGCTAGCACTTTTTCTGCTGCTTTTGATCCACCCTGTTCTTCTGATAACGACCCAGATTCCTTAACTTCTCAATTTAACGAGCACTGCCTCTCCATTCTGGACAACATCTGTCCTGTCAGAATCAGATCAGTTCCTGCAGTGAACCCTACTCCCTGGTTTAATGACAGCCTTCGCAGCCTGAAGCGCCAATGCAGAAAAATTGAGCGTTTGTGGAACAAAACCCATCTCCACGTCCATCTGCTGCACCTAAAGGATCTTCTGACATCCTTTAACTCTGCAGTCAGAAACTCTAGGGTTTCCTATTTCTCCAACCTGGTGTCCCAGAGCAAAGGGAACCCCAAGGTGCTGTTTAACACCATCAGCAGCATCGTGTCTCCTGCCTCTCCTACAGCCTCCATCCACTCTGTTGCAGACTGTGAGAACTTTCTGTCTTTCTTTGTGGACAAAGTCAATAAGGTTAGATCTAGCATCTCTCCTTCAGCCTTACCGCCGCTTCTCCCGACTCCAACCAGGCCCGTCATCCTAGATAGCTTTGCTCCTGTTTCTTTGCCTGAGTTAACCAAACTAGTTAACTCTATGAAAACCTCTGCATGCCCCCTTGACATCTTACCCTCATCTTTGTTTAAAAGTGCTATTCAGTCCATCTGTCCCAGCGTGCTCCCCATAATTAATGCTTCTCTGGTTTCTGGTCAGGTCCCTGCTTACTTTAAAGGAGACATAACATGAAAAACCCACTTTTTTATCCATTAACACAGTGTGTTTCACATTTTAAGTGTCTAAGTGAGCAAAAAGGCTTATATTATTCACTGGAGTTGCTATTTAGATATTTAATAATTAAGTTTTGGGCATATTTGTCCACCCGTTCAGTTTTTCAAATGATCTATTACATCAGTAATTTATTTCGTCAGGATAACTACCAAATATGGTAATGGCCCTAGGCTAAACACAGAGCCAATCCGCCATTTTTTCTTCTCGTTAAGATTTTTTGTAGTCCTATTGGAAAAATGCTGAATGTCTGGTTATTTTAGCCACACACAGCTCAAAACTGTTCCTCGTTTTAAGGAAGGGTGGTGTGGCAGTATTTAAACCCAGGAGCTGATGACACTACTGCTAAAAAAACACAGAAGAAAAAGTAGTGTGTGTGTGTGTGTGTGCGCGCGCGCGCGCGTGTGGTTCGTTCTTCGTGTCTCCAAGCTAGTAAGTACTGAGGGCTTCATCTATCTAAAATGAGTCATTTCCATCTGAATGTGGTTGCAACGGGACACAGCAGCAGAGCGGTAAGCTTCATATCATTCTAAAATGTCGACAAACTTTACTTTAGATTTACGGGCATTAGCAGCACTAAAGCGTTAGCATCCGGCTTGCTATCGCTAGCACAGTATGCTAGTAAAGTTAGCACCCAGATTAATGTGGATTTGGCTGATTTTCGTGGAATAAAACGTGATTTCTGATCAACGCCTTCTTTTACACCAGATGATAACCTTCCACTGATTGTAACAGCAGAGAGCCTGTGTGTTATTCTACGTGAGTGTGATGTAATCTTAGCATCCAGTAAATAAAGTCCCATATCAGCTAAAATGCAGCGTGACAAAGTCGTTAAAGTGCGTCAACACAGTGGATTTAATAGAGTTTTAAAGAACGATCTCTGAGTGAAGTGAGGTTAGTTTTTTGTCTCACTGCAGATATAAAAACTAACTCTGCATCAGTCAGACGCAGCAAAGCTCACCGTCTGTATG